GGGTCCCGTGCTGGGCTACCTGCTCGGCTCGCTCTTCCTCAAGGCGTGGATCGACCCTGCCAAGGCGCCGAGGCCCGCCTACAAGAACTCGGAGTTTCTCGACGTTTGGTGGACCGGTTAGTGACATCTTCAGACGTAATGCATTAATGACGTAATTTGATAATAATTTGTGCAATGATAAGGTGACGAATATTGTAATATCAGTAATCATAATAGAGCAGTACACATGCCAATAGCTACGACTAATATCGTATAGCATATAACAGTAAATGAACGTACAGGTTAGTATAAAACAAAAAATCAATCAATAAAAAAAAAACTTCTTTGCATTTCATATATCAAGTTCAGCTAAATGCTAGAAAAAACACAGTACCAATCACACATAATTTAACCTACATTATCGTCAGGGTCCCTGTGTATCTTGTGTGGTCTCGCGGTCTCTGGAAGTCTGTCGTTCCTTTTCCCTCGCCATGTTCCCGAGTCGTTCAGAAGAATGAGGAAGATCCTAGCGAAGGAGGAAGTCGAGGAGGAGGCGAGTCCTGCAGAATCGAAGGCGAAGGAATCTCAGTTCAGACAGATTCTGAAAGGTAGGATGGGAGGAGAGAAGGATACTTTTATTTACTTTGTTTTATTGGTAGTTTTATTTTCGTTTTTTATTTATGTATTTTTTATCGTCATTATATATATCAGTATTCAGCTTTTCTCCGCCGCTATCATGAGCATCGCTACTACATTATAAACGCATTATTATCATTACCATTCCATTATTATCATCACTATTCCCACGCATTCATCACCAACATACCAGACATCCAGTGATAACGCCAGCAAACTTCACAACCACGGAAAACCAACAGAAAATTTAAATAACTACTAACCTTGACACATTTTCCCGTTACAGAAACCTGGGAATCAGCCAGGCGAATTTTCACCAACAAGATCTGGGTGTTAAACCTCTTCAGTACAACTCTTTTCGCCCTTGCCGTGTCCGGGTACTGGAGCCTGAGGCCGAAGTACCTCGAGAGCCAGTTCAGAAAGCGGCCGATGGACGCCAACTTCTATATAGGTGTGTTGGTTGGAGGTTTTCTTGTACAGTCTTGTCTTCGTAGAGAGAGCAGTTGTGCTGAGATTTTAGAGTGATTGATGGACGGGTAGGTTGGTATTTTGCTAGATAGAGAGGTGGCTGGATCGATTGACAGGTAAATGATGAATAGATAGATAGACAGGCAGATAGTAAAAAAAAAAATGTATGACTGGGTGTTTTTTTTCATATTAGTTTACGTTGATCATATATAATCAACGTAAACACAAATAAGTCAGCATCTTGAATGTCTGTATCTTGCACACGTGTTTTCATCATGCACTGCGATAGCAACCAAAGAAGAGGCACGAAAAAACACGAATAACCAATTCCTTCCCGTCAGGTCTCTCGAGCCTCCTTTCGCCCATGTTCGGGATGGGTCTGAGCGGTGTCATCCTGCTGTGGATGCGGCCGAAGGTGAAGGTCTTGATGGGGTACAGCGTCTTCGTTACGCTCTGCGGCGGCGCTGCGTACGTCGGCCTCATCTTCGCCGGCTGTCCGAAGCTCGACATTGTTGGTCCCGTTGCAGGGTAAGTTATGAGGAAGGGCTAGTGGGAAAAAAACCGTTTTTGATAAGGTTAATGTATTTTTTCCTTTTTTCTTTTTTTTATGATCCTTAGGTCAGTCCAAAAATCGTTAAAGATGTTGGTTAGGTTTGAATCTTCAACTGATCAGCGGGGCTCAGACTTGTTATTTGTTGAAGGTGTTCTAATATACTTTTTCTACTTCGCTTTGCAGATCTCTGACGCCTCCGTGTTCAGCTGACTGCGGGTGTTCGGGCAGGTTCTCTCCAATGTGTTCTGAAGACCAGATAACACTGTTTTATTCGCCCTGTTATGCCGGCTGTACTTTGGCCAACACCTCTGCAAACCCCACTGTAGGTCGAGTGCTTACTGAACAAATGGTTGTTATTGTAGAGACCGAGTGTGAACACGTATTAACAGTAATTGAGATTAAGTAAGGGATGGGCAATTGATTAGGTAAGGGATGGGAAGTTGATAATTTTTCCTAGTAATTGAGTCATATCATCACCACTACCATTACCATCATCATCATCATCACCACTACCATTACCATCATCATCATCATCACCACTACCATTACCATCATCATCATCATCACCACTACCATTACCATCATCATCATCACCACTACCATTACCATCATCATCATCACCACTACCATTACCATCATCATCATCACCACTACCATTACCATCATCATCATCACCACTACCATTACCATCATCATCATCATCACCATCACCATCACCACTACCATTACCATCATCATCATCATCACCACTACCATTACCATCATCATCATCACCACTACCATTACCATCATCATCATCACCACTACCATTACCATCATCATCATCACCACTACCATTACCATCATCATCATCACCACTACCAT